CAGGTGCTGTATGTAAGGCTCTTGACCTTCAGTTTGCCCCACTTTCTCCTACTGCGCCTATCAATTTGTCGCTGCTAAACATCAAGATCACTGTCACAAATATTCCTGCAAGATAACAAATGAGGCGCCACAGTGGTGATAAAAAGAAAGAAATACAAAGAGAAAATGGAAAATATTTCCGGGGACACTAAAACTTATCGAGTGCTAGCAAATGACCCAACAAATACTAAAGGAAATGAATATGAACGGGAAAATCGACAAATTAACAATTAATTCACTCATACAATAAGATGCAAGAGCCACGGTGGCATACGGTTCACCGAAAGTACACAATAAAGGAAAACCATTTGAAACTGATAGTCAAAAAGCACGGATCAACACATAAACTGGTGAAATTTATTTGTAACTGAAGGTTAAATTTCCCACAAGGAAATAAATGGAAGGCCTCACGATGCCATTTAATTTAACGTAGCCTTGCCTAGTAAAAGGCTTTCTCATTGTGGGCAATTGATCTACTAGCTCTACATCATTTTAAGCTATATAATGTAATTCATATTGTTATTAAAGATATGATATTAGTTACAAAACCTACTCAATCAGTATAGGTATAGTTAAGGACCTGGATATCTATAAGAGTCAAACCTTGATGCGCTGTTTAAATTCGAAGTAATTGCAATGAGGTAACGGTAAAACGACCGATATATAAGCTATTAAATGCAAATCTTTTATTAGAGCTAAAGATATTTTCAGACAAGTATTCACATTAACAAATATACTATCAATAACTCACTGAAGTCCGTTAACGCGAGCATCAGAGTTCGTACTGGCATTTGGATTCAAGGCTGACAACGTAGAACCCAGGCTACTCGTTCCAACAGTGTCTTCGCCTCCTGGAACGGACTGTCCTGGCAATTCAGCTAGTCGGCGTGCTCCTATAACGTTTCGATTAGATCGTGTCGCCTCAACGATCTCGAGCGTGGGTGCCGTAAGCCCGGCAAGAGCTCGGAGTCCAGTTGACGGTCGGAACCGATGAACTGCTAGTTCAACTCCACGTGTATGCTGTCGAGGTCTACGAGCCGTTTGACCAGCAGAAACGGAAGCTACTGTGCCCACCGGTCTCGGTGTATTATCTTCTGAACCATTTGAAGCAGACTAAAGACAGATTCAATAGAGAAAGCATTGTTACTCATAAGTAGTAACATTCAAAATTTAAAGCAAATTTTACATATAAAGTATTCCGACATTTGGGGAAAATTTAAAAACTTATCACTTTGCCATGAAAGAACTGATGATAGAAAGAAGGCTAGGCCTAGAATAGATTAAACCAACACAAAATCTCTAACTTCTATTCGTTTACGCCACTACTAGCAAATCTTAATAGAAGCTCTGAAAAATTTGTGAATTCAGTAATTAACTCATAGAGGTGTATTTTGCACGCATAAAAAGGGTCAATAAAAGACCCCTGAAAATTTGTTGGTAAATCGTATTCTGAAGCTGCTTTGAGATTTAGTTATGGGTGTAAATAATAATTCTCCACTTATTGGAAGCTGCTGTTTGATGTGTAATAGGATTTTTCCACTTTTGCTAGAATTTAAATCGTAATAGTCAGTCATATACCATTTGTAATAAAGTCATGATCATTTATAGAATCGGACCAGTAATTTGTGAATTCCCAAACATTTTGCCGTGACAGTAGTCAGCAATATTAGAAAGGAGCAAGCCTTAACGCAGAATTATAACTCATCAAAGGCAATCCTCTTGGTTATTCTTTCTCCGCAACCGTTATGACGTATCTCTTATTCTAACTTCTAGCGCTGTATCATCATCCTTAAACTCCATCATATATAGAGTTTACGATCTAGATCTTTCAGTATCATAGATTTTTCCACTCCTTAAATCGTGTCGTCTAAGCGAATTTCAAGAGAAGTAATCATCAGCGGGTTCTGGTGCAGCACTCAGGGCTCCTAGATCCTCATTAGAATTTAGGCAATCCTCTTGACTATTCTCCCAAACCGTTGTGATACCTCTTTCATGCTAAATTAAGTTCAATGGCATTTATTTTGACAATGCCTAAATAGACAAGAATCAAAATATGACTGGGCCTTAACCAGATAAAACATAGGTGTTCATAAAACTGAGAATAAATTAAGTTCAATGGCATTTATTTTGACAATGCCTAAATAGACAAGAATCAAAATATGACTGGGCCTTAACCAGATAAAACATAGGTGTTCATAAAACTGAGAATAAATATTAAAAAACACACAGAATAAAGAGTATGTTCAAGTAGATACAGATTCAAGCGATGGTAATTTAAAGAATTATAAATAAAAATAGCAGTATAAAAGAATCGAGTAAAGAATTAGTGAAACTAATTAACATGCAAATTAAAAGATAGTGTTTAAGTTTTTAGACTCCTTTTCCTTCGGGATAAACTACCTCTACTCAAATTATAATGTATGCTTTGCTGACAGTATATAGTTAAATAAAAATCTTACATCGGGCAGATAAGGGGATTATACAAATAAATCGTCATTAAAATTTTAGATAAAGCAAGATAGGAAATAAAGCATTTTAAAATTACCACCGTTGCCACAGAACTTTCACTCCGAGATGCAGTAATCTCTCTTCCAACCTCATCGTCATATTCTTCCTCCTCTCCTATTCTATCAGGATCCCTCTGTGCGCTTGTGAGGTCGTCGTCAGATGCTGTACCTGCATGAAACGCGCGTAGTAGGAAGTCTGCAGCTCGGAATACAGCTGCTGCATTACCACTTTCTCCGTTGCTCACACCAGCACCAGTCACAATAACTTCTTCGCCCCCATCTACTCCACTTGTTCCTGAGCTAGTCGCCAAAGTTACGACCGAGTTACTTGGATCGCCGCTCCATTCAGGGAAAGAATAGACGTCAGTAGCAGCGATATTCTCAGCCAAAGGATATGTAAGCGCAAGCAGATTGAGAATATCAACAGCCAATCGTGTGCAATCGCTGCGCCAAGGCCAATTGGCGAAGGCGTATACGTTTCGGGCGATTATTCGGAAACAAACTGTGATAGCGCCCCATGTATGAAGCTGTTGTGCAGGAGGCCAGACAGTATCAGGCGAAAGGCTAGATACAAGAAGCGCCATTAACCTATTGAGCTGCTCTGAAGTATAGGTGATCGGCTAATCAGGGAAACAAGAAAAATACTATAAGTATTTCCC